ACCCAGACCTGCCTTGCATGGTGTTGCAGAATCCCTGTGGAGTGGTTTGGAGGAGCGTCAGAACGCCGACCTGCAGCAGTCCTGCCCCGCGAACGGGACAGGCTTCCGAGCACGCTCCGCGTCTGAGGGGATCTTCGGGCACGTGAAGGTCAGGGCTGTCGCATGATCTTTACGGAAGGAGATGCATAAAAATTAATTTTCAAATTGGCTTTTTTTCTTGCATTGCGGAAAACGAAGCGCTCATCCTCTCCCGGAGGTCTGCCGGCACGGAGAGAAGGGATTTAATTTTGAATCTGGGAGCTCGCCATACCATGTACTGGTTTGCTCTGTCTGCTGGGGGGCAACTGGGAGCCCACCAAGAACTTTAAACTTTTGTGCAAACTATTTTACGGAACTACTTAGCTGCAAAGTTTCTCCTGTCTTGTGTTTCACATAAGCGACGCCATTCAAACTGATAAAAATCCTCCCAAGTCCGTAGGGTTGCACGCTGGGGTCTGTCCTAATCCTTTATCTGAAGATTTTTAGTGAGGAATTTGATGCCACTTGCTGATACAAATTCTGTTAAGCCCCACATCTCCTGGGCATCTTCTTTGATAGATCTCCGGTAACCTTTTGGGTTTTCTCTCCCTTTTTTGGTATGGCATCCAGTATAAAATATTCTCAGTCCGTGACTGGGGCGTTTTGATAGGGACACTCAGTAACGAAAACGAGCGTTTAGAAAAGTGTTTTCATCCTGGTATGGAATAAGGACAAGCTTTGGAGGGGTTATTTTAAATTATTTCTGTCTGAAGATAGAATTTTAAGGCTTTCACCCGGAGCAAGGGTTAAGTACAGTGTGAGCAGTGCAAGGCTGTTCGGGAGGCGTCTCCCTGAACCCCCACTTTCCCACAATTCGTAGAAATTTTCTGGGGAAAAAAATACTTCTGTGAAATATTGCAAGCTTTATGGGGAAAAAATAGTCTGGAGTGAGTTTGAGCCACTTTATATCAGTACACTGTAATTGGAAGGAACAGGAAAACAGCATGAGTTTTTATTTCCTTTGCAAGGGACCTCACCAGCCTTCTTCGCATATGCACGCCTTTAAAATATTCAGTACTGAGAAAAAACCCATGAAGAGCAAATATGGCAGCGCTTGACATTTATTGATATATAAAATATTTATAGAATGTATGTTTGTAATGCTTGGCATGTTATATATATATATGCATACACTTTTCCAGTCTGAATGTGTTAGATCTGTCTGCTTTGGTAGGGGGTTACGTTGTCCTGATTTGTGATGTCTCACCTGTGTTTAATACTGCATAATTTCCACCAAAGTAATTAGGAAAATGACTCACTTTAATCGTGTCAGTAAGAAAAATACAGGGCACACCTACCCGACTGGCGGAAAGGTGTTGGTGAGCGCGTTATAGTGGTTAAATGCATCCATTCCCTATGAAATTCAACACCCAGATATGCATATACTGTACATCATCCATAAAAAAAAACCACGTATCCAGCTTTCTAGCAGTCTAGAAAAATGCCAACAATTAAAAAAAAAAAATAAAGGGGGGAGAAATGGTGGGGAGAGGCGCAGCAGTT